CAGCCTTTTCCCAGGAACAACTCCACACACTGGGGACTTGGTATCATGGAGGGAGAATTTTGCACTCTTACTTTACAAGGCTTTGCAAAGCTGTTCCACAGCTCTGCTTAATAATGAGCAGTGGCTTCCTGGGCAGAAGGAAAAAGCACTGGGTGGCTGTTCTCGTGCTGCCTGCCACGAAGATTGGAGCACATACCAGAACCACAAGTCTCCATAAATGCTTCGTATCAGGAAATGAAAACGTGGTGGTTCTATGAGCTCGCCGACATTCAGAAAACCAGGCATCAGTAGCCACCTCCACAAACTGGCATTTTCCAGTCATTTTCTTGCTTTTATTTCTCAACTTAATTCCATCTTTCACTGCCTCCCTGTTGCTTTCTAAAATAAACCTAACCTTTCACTCTGTTCTCTTTGTACTAATGCTAACTTTAAAGAGCACAGAGAATTCTTGGTGGAAGACCACCACCTGAAGATAGATAATTTATCTCCAACTTCACAAAAGAGGCTTTAGAAACCACCGCTTTCGGTTGAGTGCGGTGGCTCACACCTGTAATCCCAGCACTTTGGGAGGCCAAGGCAGGCGAATCACAAGGTCAGGAGTTCGAGACCAGCCTGGCCAACATGGTGAAACCCTGTCTCTACTAAAATACAGAAAATTAGCTGAGCATGGTGGTGAACACCTGTAATCCCAGCTACTCAGGAGGCTGAGGCAGAAGAATCGCTTGAACCTGGGAGACAAAAGGTTGCAGTGAGCGAAGATCGCGCCACTGCACTCCAGCCCGGGGACTCTGTCTCACTTAAAAAAAAAAAGAAAGAAAAAGAAACCACCACTTTCCAGAAAATAAAAATATTTTAGCTGACTCATACTTAAGACTGTCCACTGCTGTCGAGTCACACGATAAAATATTTTTGTGTTGATCCATGAGAACTATAGAATGAGCTATATGGTAAGAATCATAAGCCTATTTCCTTTTTCATCAGTTAATTTTTAAGTTCATAGCCTCCCCCACATCTATATGAGAATTTCCTGAGCTGAAGTGGCCTCTCTCATTTCATAGACATAGGGGCCATTGCCATGGGAAAAGTGGAAACCCTAGAGGCCTGCCTGAAAAGAGATAGTAAAATTTCCACAGGGCATGTTGAATGTTTATATGGTACCACCAAGAACAGGCAGCCCAATACTAATCTTCTAGCATTAGCCTGTACATTGTTTCACTATCTTCAAAATATATTATCCTCCTCTGTCACCTAAAAATCTAGTCATTTCCTTTCCCTAACTGACATCCAACTCCACATTCAATTGGTCACTAAACCCTATTCATTTTCTACCCTTACTTTCTTCAATCACTCTTCCCTTCTCACCATCATCTCTGCCCTACCCTAGTTAAGCGTAAGAAAATTATTCCAAGCCTGACGATGAAGCGTTGACAGGAATGAAAATGACATAGTAGGACCAGGATGGAGGTAAAGCAAGAGACACAACTGGGGTGCAAAATTTTTTTTTAATGGTAATTTTTTTTCGCATTTATTTATTTTATTGCATTTTAGGTTTTGGGGTACATGTGAAGAACATGCAGAATTGTTGCATAGTAACACACATGGCAGTGTGATTTGCTGCCTTCCTCCTCATCACCTACATCTGGCATTTCTCCCCCTGCTATCTCTCCCCAGCTCCCCACCCCCCACCGTCCCTCCCCTATTTCCCCCCAACTGACCCCAGTGTGTAGTGCTTGGGGTGCAAAATTTAAGGAGACTCTCATCTGTGGATTTTGCAAGTGTAGGGCCTGCTGAGAGTGAGTGCCTCCTTGGGCTTTACAAACTAGGTACTTCTTTTTGCCTCACCCCATCCCCAGCTCTGTGATATGTTTTTTTCTATTATTTTAAAAACTACTGTTGCCAAAATCTATGTATGCTTGTCCAGACATTACGCACACTTATCTAGATATAACAAATTCATCCAGGCGATATACTCGGGCTCAGATGCTGCCACTGGGTGCCTGCATACGTGGAGAATTTTACCAGTGCCTAGGAATGTTTATTGAGCAGCCATTTTTCTTTATGGATTTTTTTCCTCTGGTCTGTTATAACCTGATTTCATTTTCTGGTTTTATATCAAGACACTAGCATGTTTTTGTCATCACAGAACACCGTTAACACTCTAGGAGTCTCAGTCAGGCAGCCAGCACATGGGAGATTGTTAACTTCAGTATCAAGAGGCAGAAGCATGACAGTGGTGAGAAGGTGGTGATCCATGATGAAAGATACCATGAACAGAAGTGAGGTGGGCCACGAGGTGCTTGTTATTAATAATAAAGTATCAACACCTGTCAACGATTCACTTTTTAGATAAATTAAAGCAGAATCAAGGTAATCGCCATAACAACATCTTCACACTCTCTAGAATTCCCTGGAGTACTAACATGCTTTCCTCAGTGGAAAAGAAGTGGCTTTACATCTGGCCTTTCCAGCACTACTTTTACCTTTTTGTTTTGTTTTTATTTATTTATTTTTTACTTTAACGTTTTAAACACTATGTACACCTGTGCAAAGTGCCATCATCCATTAAACATGTCCCATTAGGAGTAAAAGGCTGAGAATGGCATCTGTGAGTTGAGCTTGGTAAACCCAGGAGGCCCCTGAAAATGTGATTTTCTCAAACATTGTCTCTCAAACATCTCTGGAGTGCTCCTCTCAGAAATTTCCCTGGAATTATCTGCATGTGTTTGGATCTCTGTCTTGCTGAGGCCTCATGGGTGGATCCTGGGGTGCTTTTCCCTTCCTTCGCATTCAGAAAATGCATGTAGGTTCCTCCCTCTCACCAGCTTTTCATCATAGTCCTTGATTAAAAGGACCTCACCCTAAGGTCTTTGTTTCTTTTTTCCAGTGGGTTGGCTCTCGCCTTCAGGATAAACCCATCTCAGAAGACACTGGACTTTACTGGTCCTCCTGGGTTACCTCCAGTCATCCTCATAACAATTCTCCCACTATTGTATGTACAAACATATATACACACATATTTCAATTTTCCTTTTCTTAATTTTTACAACTCTTTCGGTAACAAAGAGTTTATTCGAGGAAATTCTTCCCCAAATTACTGTGATTGCCTCCTAGCTAATCTCCCTACCTCCAGGCCAAATCTCCTCTATTTTTTATTAGAATAGTTATGCCCATGAGAAGTCCTGGTGTTTTGGTCATAGACATACATGTTCTCCTGGATGTATGATGGCATAATGGAGAAAGGTAGAAAAGAGCCATATAGGCTTGAATATAAATCTAACTCCAAGCCCTCTTACCCTATGTCACATGAAAATGAAGTAATATCATGCCCTCTGTGTCACACACAGTTAGCACAGTGCCTGGCACAGAGATGACTTCTCTCTTCTTTCCCTTGTTATTCAAAGTAAGGACATCTAAGAGTCAGGGAGAAACTGCAATTTTTCTTCACATAACCTTTTTTTAAAAAAAAAAAAACATACTCTTAGTACTAGCGTTTATCAGTAGGCATCCTCTGATTTTTTAAAAATCTGGGTATTCTGAAAACAGAATTTATCAGTAGGCACTTATCAGTAGGTATCCCCTAATTTTAAAAAAGTCTGGGTATTCTGAAAACAGAGTTTGAATCCTACCTGGCTTTATTTTTTGCATAGTCCTGTGGAGAGGCAAGGAAGAATAAATAAATAAATAAATAACAGAGATGAAAAAGTAATTTCATGAAAGAAAATAAAAAAGGTTATAAAAGAATTACTGTTAGTTAGCCTATGCTTTTCTTTCCTAGTCACTTTGATTTGATTACAGGGTATAATATCAGATGTGAGTAATGTTCTTTCCCCATTAACTTATACGTTAAGAAGCACAAACAAACACATGGCAGGTTTTCTCTGTTCTTTTAGACATAATGTCCAACCTTCATACATCCAATGGTATTCCAGTTATTTGTTATAATGGAATTTACCAAATATAACACAAATTACATTTCCCATTATGATCCCCAGGATCATATGAGAAAATAGAGCCTTTCAGCCACAGTAAGTCAATGAGTGCATTCTACCGTACCCCAGAAGGAAATGAAATTATGTAACACAAACATTTCTTTCTTCCCCTATGACTTTTTTTTTAACCTTCTTCCCTTGAAGCTATTTTTGCTGGGTTAACTTTTATTTAGATTGTGGTGATGTTGGAAATTAGAAGTAGTGTTTTTTCTCATGTTAACATCCTCAGGCTTAAGCATTTATTGTTCTTTCTTTTGTTATAAAGAAGTGTTCCATGAGTCAACTTGTACTTAGATGATTATGATACTGGGGGTCAGAAGAAATTCAAGAAGTTGGAGTATAAGTGACTAGTTGGTGGCAAGACAGGTTTCCCTTCTCCACTTTCCACTCACAATGCGATAACATTCAGGCATCCTCTTTGTTGTAGGCAGGAGTTCTTACATGAATGGGAACCAAAATGATGAATGCCTTTACACAGAGTTGCTCCTTGCAGAAAATTTGTTATAACCACTTTAACAAATCTCTCTGCATCTGGCCCCTCATAGAAATATAACAATGGCTTTGTTATGAAAACTGTATATTTAACACAGAATTTGGTTTGAAGGGATCTTACCTATGCCCCATAGATGGAACTGTTCTACCCAGGGAGCACAGAAGTCTTTTCTTAGTGAATTGTGAAATTGGAGGACAGATATTCTATTCTTACTCTTGCTGCCTGGTGAGATGGATCAATAGCATCTGGGCTTTCTGATCTATATGTCAATCTCAAATTCCTATTTAAACAGGGAGAAGAGAGGGCACTGGTTGGGAGGGAGATTGAAGACTGCAGAAATGGCCTCAACCAAGTTAATAACTAGGTTTTCAAGCTGATTAATTTATGCTCTTCCTTTATTGGCAGAATATGTAATGTGCTGATTTTCACCTGAGGCCATGTCTCTCTCATGGCTGATCACAATTCCTAGGAGATGCATTCACTTTAAATTTACCTTTTCTTATATTTTTCTCTTTTAGGTAGCTATAGATTTCACTGCCTCAAATGGGGACCCCAGGAACAGCTGTTCCTTGCATTACATCCACCCTTACCAACCCAATGAATATCTGAAAGCCTTGGTAGCTGTGGGGGAGATTTGCCAAGACTATGACAGGTAAGAGACTTCAGAGCATTTGAAGCCTTATCATCTCTCATGGGGGTGAGATGGTCTTTGACTGATCCTGGGCAGAAAGTGGAAATTAAGTTAAGTAACTTCTTATGCAGTGGCTTCAAAAGCTTCATCCTCTCCATACTAGAAAAACTAAGTTTGTACCTAGCTCGCTTTGGTCACCAAACAAAAACCTTTCTCAGTTTTCTTATCTTAATTGGCTTGCAAGACAATTGGATAGCAATTTTGGTTTCCATTTTGTGAAATCTTAGCATGTGCCTTGCTACTCAAAGTTGTTTGTGAGCTAGTAATATTCTAGACCTACTGAATTGGAATCTGCATTTAACAAGATCCCCAGATGATTTGTGTATACTTTAGAGTTGTAGAAGCACAGGTCTATTAGACGTTACCACATCTAATCTTCACATTAACCCTTATATAGTATGTATTCCTTAGAAGAAGGGAATACTGTACAGGTGGTTAAGTATTTGTGTGCTATCACATAGCCAGAGACAGGACTTGAACCCAGGTCTACCCACTCCAAAGCTTAAGTCTATAATCACTATGCTTCACTGACCCCAAAAGCTATTGGTAAGTTCAGCAGAGGGTGTGATACATGTGTGTAGCCAGATGAATATGTATGTTTGCATGTGCATGTATAGAAAATGTGATTTAACATCAGATCAATATTCTATCTATTTTTACTTGATGATAAAAATAAGAGTATCTTACATAAATTACATTAAACTGAATGTATGCTGCCTTTCCAGTAGTTTTAGAATAAAGTCAAGGAATTTAGTTGTTTTCTTAAGGAAAGCTTTTTGAAGTGAAAGCAGTGTAAACATAAATATGTGTAAATCTCAGTTAACTCCCTGATGTAATCGTAAACCAAAGCTAGTTAGTAATGAGCAGCGATAAATTGACCTTTCAGAAGAGGAAAATAAAGAAAGCAACTCTGTCCTTTAGGTTTCAGATGAATTTTGTAAGATAGCATGATTTCTGTTCCTTCTAGTGTCATAATTGGTGATAATCATATTAAAAACTTGTTATCCTCCATATCATAAGAAATGACACATTCTCATGACTAGAATGTACAGAGAAACTAATAGAACAGCGTAATGGGAAAGGTGCAGTCAGTCTCCTGCCTGCCTATGTCTCTAGATTAAGCTTGGTCATCACGAGTAACTCAAATGTAGCACAAAGGCAGCTGGAGAATGAGCATGTCCAGTGAGATCAAAGAGCTTTAAACACTTAGGCCCTTGCTGACACTTCCTCTCCTGTACATCTAGGAAAGATGTCAATTATTATTTTAACTTGTGTTGTTGGAAAAACACCTCTTATATACTTAATCTTGAGGTATTGACTGTGGAAAACTCCCTTGAGTTAACTTGAGATAATTTGAATTTCAACACTGATTTCTTCAAGCCCCAGTGCAGGCGGTGTGGTGGTGGTGGGGATCCTAGAGAGGTTTGTGTCATATGAGTATTTCCACCAGGGAGAGAAAAAGACAGGCCAATTGTATCCACTACATTGGAAACTTCTCCAAACTTCCCCAAGACACAAAACCAATAATTTTCTTCCTTCTTTGTATCATACACACATTAATAATCTAGTATAATAATGTGTGAATATGCTGAGAGGCAAGAAGCAGGAGAGTATCTTCGGGATTCGTAACTTTTCAATCTCGAAATGCTTGCAAAGACAAAGTAGGTAAATGCACTTAACACATATCTCAAACAGTAGATGCTTAATTAAAAAGTTAACTCTGAATCTGCAGGGAAGAAGGCAGTCTAATAAAGTACAAAGAGAAGACTGATGGGTTTTCTAGAAATTAAGATACTAAGCCTCAGAGCCCTTATTGTAGCAGATTTAGTGGATGATCGCAAAGAAGCTGCTGAACATCTCCATTTCCTGATTGCCTCACATGCAAAATGCAGACTATAGTCAGAGTGACATGTATATCTTGTAAAGCGTTTATCCCTCTGTGAGCCAGACAAAGTCTGGGGAGCATTTTTTGATCCCTCAAAAATGCAGATTCAATATATAAATAAAATATGAAACCTTAGGATTTACATGAAGAATCATCATAAATTATTGTTTAAAATCTTTTAATAGAGTAAGATTGACGTTATCATCCCCAACTGGCCAAGAAAATATAGTTTCTACAGCTCAATGGAACAATTATTTTTTCCATATATAGAAAGCAGCTCAACATTAAAATGGGCAAATACTTAAGGAAGAAAAAGGAGGATTGAAAAACTCCAGTGCTCCTTTAAAGAAACTCTCTAGAAGAATGTGTATTGCAAGCTGCTCGCTTGAAAACTGACAAGGTTCCGCTGTTTCTCCTTTGTGTGGGTGGATAGACAATAGACAGGCAGAGTCAGGAAATTTCAAGTCGGGGCTCTGGAATTAATTTATTCTCACATCAAAGTCAGTGAGGTTGGTGCTCAAGGAGAAACACTTGAATAAAAACTGACAGAAGGCATTGTTCCCCCTCCTGCAGTGACACAGAGGTTTCTAATCCCCATGAGCCTTAGAAATTCCTCCCAGCCTCTAGCAGCCAAGAGTTTTCTTTCTGCCTTGTACAGTCATTGCTACCAGGTCATTATGAGGTGATCCATGAAGTAGAACAGCTTGGGTGATGGATAAAACTCTTCTCAGAATGGCCTTGAAGAGAAGTTTCCCACAGACAGCTGGTCCTCAGACCTGCCTGCCTGTTCTATCCTTCAGCCTCTGAAAGAGATGATACTGCGCATTCCCTCTGCCATGACCACCCACCCCAGCATAACCATTTGTGCACACACACAAAAGCATGCATGCATGTGCATACACACACACAGGCCCTCACAGGCTCAAGTTGTAGCACTTCTCTAGCTTCTGTATCCTAGTCTCCTAGACAGCTCACGGCCAAGGTGACAACTTTTCGTCAGGGCCAGCAGGGATATGGGTGTCTGAAAACCTGACATGTTCTCTAATAAAAAGCATGGCCTATCTGCTGTCGAGACAGTACAGAAACTGACCATGTACATTTCGTGGAAATACAGATTGCCATTTTATAGACGTGTCTACCCCAGAATGAGACAGATATCAGAAACCAAAGCATGGTTTCTCCATGGTGTGGTGGTTATGGTACAAGGAGACAAAGTTAGAACTGACACCCATTCTGACAGGTATTTTCAAGTGTAGAGCACTTGTTTAGTGATGAGAAGACAGTTCAAATCACAGTGCTACTTTTTCCACTCTATTATCAGTCAGTGGTTCTCAGCCTTGGCCACACATTGAAGCCATTTGAAGAGCTTTAAAATGTGGTGATGCCTGAACGCCACCCCAGAATCTCTGATTAAATTGTTGGTGTGCATACTGGAAATTAGAATTTTTTGTCCAGCTAGGTGTCCAGGGTTGAGACCCAGTGTTAAATTGTGAGAGATGGGTCAGATGCAATGGCTAAGGTCCAATGCCGCATCTACTTAAGCACCAAACACCTCATGGGGAGCTGTAAAGACAGAATATTTAATGAAGCACAGTTTTTCCCCAAGTAGCCCACAATCTCACTGGGGAGAAACTTGTGTAAATTACAGCCCAGCATGGCCAGGGAATTGTTACCCTGTATAGGGATGGGAACTGTATAAAAGAGGGAAGGGCTAACTCTATCCTATGTGGGAAGAGGGGTGGTCAAGGAGGGAGTTCTGGGGATGATAATTTCTGGGCTGATCAGAATTTGGCCTTCAGCTTTGTTGTTATTAGAATGTGGATGGATTTATTCTCCTTATTCTGAATAATTATACCAGACAAGCCTTCTATGAGGACAGAGTCAATGGGGATGATAGGGCATGGGGAACTGGTGATGGGTAGACCTAGGTTCACACCCCATCTCTGCTACCTCTGTTGTCATAGATTTACATTCTATGGACTTTGGTTTTCTTTATTGTAAATTGAAGATGTATCTCACTTCCCTTGCAGAGCAGTTATAAGGATTAGATATAAAGCAGCTAGTTAACACAAGTTCCACCTCTTATAAATACTGAATAAATGACAGGGGCTATAATCTTTAATACCCTAGATTTACATTTTAAAAATGATCTGAACACAAAGGGAGACAAAACTATAGAGTCAGTTCTAAAATTCACTTTGGACCAATGATCTTTAAAATATTTTTGCTCATATACTTTTAAAAAGAATTTTATAAAAATGTGTAGCTGTCACATTTTTCACTGAAATCTAACATTTTTCATCATGAGTTTAGTGACAAAGAATGAAAATTCTAGTGTATTGTAAATTTGGACATTTAATAACAAAACTCTTACATAATTCTTGTGACTGTGTCAAGTAGAATCTTAATGCTGTAACTCTTTGATAACCACCATCATCCATTTTGTAAAAAATGAGCAAGCTCTTCAGTGTGAGTTGAGAATTGTAATTGTTCCTTCCTTTTCACCAACTTGTATTTCCCTTCTCTTCCCCTAAGAATTTTATCCTAATGTATCTTAATATATTTGGTTTGACATTGTTATGATCACTGTATATTTCTGTAATCAAAATTTAAATTTAAAATTTTTTAGTTTCTAAAAATTTCTAAGATGAAAAAATTTAAAGTATTTAAAAAATATCTGGGTTTTATTACAATTATTACTAGTGCATAATTGGTCAAAAGAACATAAACATACTAGAAATTTCAGTATAATTTTTTCTATAAATACCTATCAGAAATCAGCTCTTACTGAAACAGATAATGGGGCATTTTTCCAATTAGTATATAGAGCTTTGGATGAGTGCTACCCAGTGCTAGAATGGGAGAGTCGAGCATCAATTCTAACTCAATTTTTTGCTCTTAGCAATGTAAATTCTAAGAAAACATGTTCTTATAAATAAGCATATGAAAATAAATAATTTGACCAACAGTATTACTCAATTCTTTCAAGTTATATACCAAAAAAATTACATAATGGCCAGTCATCAAAATGTTTTCTTCAATGATCTACCAGCTGACATCAGCACTTGCCAAAATTTATTTAAAGCAAAGCTTGGCAACTACCTGACTTGCAAAAGGATGTTTTTTCCTAGTGAAACATTCATGTTTAGAATTATTCTTGTCTCTGTTGCTACAGAGTTTTTACACTCTGGAGCAATGGACTATGATGGTTAAGATTCAGAATAGGTAAAAAAGAAGGATAAGTGAAAAGAAAGGTATGAATGGAGAATAGGTCTCTCCATCACAGGCGTTCCCAGAAGATCAGTTTCAGCAAAAAATACCTATGGATGAGGAGGAACTGAATACTGATTTCCCTTTAAAAAAAAAAAAAAAAGCCATGTTCTTATATCCCCAGAAGTGCTTTGCATTTCCAGGTAGCCCAGTTTTAAGGCCTTTGCTTTAGAGAACAGTTTTCATTAAATGTCTAAGTGCTCTGAAATGCCATACTGCTCTGAATTTCATTTCTTTATGGATACAGTAAGTTTTCTTTATGTTTATTAATGTTTTGATTAATCTTAAAATCTTCCTGAACAGAAAGGGGAAAATAGTGGTTAAAAATTAGTCTTCCCTCTGGAGGTCATTTGACAATAGTCATTCCCTAAAAAGGTCAGGACAGCTTATTCATTACCACTGAAGAAATTGGGCTTTTTTATTGTATATTATACTATTTTATTCTGTTTATAAGAAATATTGCCTTTACCCATGTGGTAATAGACCCCTGAATTTTCCAGATTGTGCATCTTTGTCAATCATTTTCCCATCAGTTGCTAAATGGCCCTTTGCTGGGTGCTGAGCGGATCCAATCTTGAGTTCTTAAAGTGTTAGGATACAGATGCTTTCGTTTGTGCTCAACTTGCCTTCTTTTACTTGTTGTATAAGAAGACCCTTCTCTGACTAGTTTTATTTTAAAACAGAAATAATGGATGTTTAAATCCATTGTGCTTAGGCTTAAAGCTTTTTCTTTAGAATGTTTATTAGTTAGAGGCTTTCTGGTGGCTAAGTTCAGAGAATTTATCCCTCCTGGCTCATTAATTATTCCCCTTATAGGTGAGGCATTTTCCCTACCTTCCTACTCTTGAAACTCAATTACACAACAGTGCATCATGCTCAGCAAACTTTGAATCCCCAAAGGTGGCTTAGAAAGTATAAAAGGAATATCATTAATGCTACAACACCATAGGGATTAGAAATGGATGGATATTAGAGCTTGCCCCTCCTAAACTCATCAAAAAAAAAAAATGAAAGAAGAAAGAAAGAAAAGAAAAGAATGGATGTTGAGACTCCCAGTTTCTCTATTTTGACTTGTGAGTCATCTTCGAGTGCGAAGGACCATGATCCATCCTCCACCCAGGAAAGCCTCATTTCAGCTTTTAACTAGAAAGTACCCAAAATCCCCCTCACAGATCTCTTCTCACACCCGCCCATGCTTGTTTTGTTTAAGGAGGACTTGCTGAGGCAAAGTATTTCAGTATGTCCGAGGACCAGAAGTATATTTTCTCCTATCTGTAGCTAATCTTTCATAAGCTGTGTTGAGTCTCTATTTACCCGCATCAATACCTTCTCTAATACCTGCTAGATGCAATGCACCACAAGCCTGAATTGACCCAACAGTGAGGAGAAACTGGAGTTGGTGATTTTTCTGGAGAATTTACACTTTGATTTCAAAGAATTCTGCCTTCCTTTTTTTCTCCCAACCCCAACCCCAAATTTGATACTGTTGACTATGTTTTGGTAAAGCTTCGTCAAAACCATCATTGGCTAGTTATGACCTCTAAATCAGTTAGGTGGTAATAAAGGAGAATCTGGTTTTGCTACTTTGACTTCTTTGTCAGCCTGTGGATTGGTGGGGCTCATCCCCTTTTGCTTACAGACGTGTAGAACAGTGAGCCTTAACCTGAATTGACTGAATATACCAAGAACAGAGAAACGTAGAAAATGTAGAACAAATCTCAGTTATGTTCTTACTGGGAGAAGAAATAAAAGGTAGATAACATGAGAAGGACATACCTTTGCCAAGAGCCCTGTGGTAATAGCCTCCTGACAGCACAGTATTTGATTAAAGAGGGTCTTATTTGTTGTCTAGTCAGGGGGCCAGATTACTGGAAGTACCAGTAGGAAATCACGTTTAATACTGTACAAAATCATTAAATTATAATGGCATAACAGAAAAGGCATGGGCTTTGAAATCACATAATTTCCCTTGGTAATCACCACAGGCCACTTAGCCTTTCTGAGGTTTTATTTACCTGTAAAATGGGAATAATAAGTAGGTGAAGCTTCCAGGATTGTATTAGAATTTAATAAGTATGTACATCATTTAGCAGGGGCCTTGTACATTGTATGCATCGATAAATGTTAATTATTCTCTTCCCCATTCTATCAACTATAGTACAATAAAGTTAGAGTTAAGATCCAATATATGTAAATGAATAATTAGGAGAGAAACTCCAATGTGCATAAAATAGCTCAAACCAAAAAATATGTAAGTGACTCTTGGGTTTTCAAGAAAATCCTCCCTTCTTTTCATAGAATGTGGCTACATTTTCATAATTAAAATTCATGGATTATGTATTCATTAACCATTTATTCAGCACACATTCTATGACAAGTACTATAATAAAGGATAGGGCAGGGGGCAGTTGAGACAGAGGAAAGTGGAGATATAAAGATTTTAATACAAAAGACAGGGTCTCTGAGTTCAAAAAACAAGACATGTAAACAGCTTATCACTGCATGTGATAAGGTGTTGGGCACAATGAGTCATGTAAAGGGAACCAAGCTCTGTCAAATTAGCCAATCTGACAAGCTTTCTGCTGCTTTATTTTTGTTTTTGCTTAGAGATGGAGTCTTGCTCTGTTGCACAGGCTGGAGTGCAGTGGCGCCATCATAGCCCACTGCAACCTCTGTCTTCGGGTTCAAGCAATTCTTATGCCTCAGCCTCCCGAGTAGCTGAGATTACAGGAATGTACCACCATGCCTGGCTAATTGTTGTATTTTTATTAGAGATGGTATTTCTCTATGTTGGCTGCGCTGGTCTTTAACTCCTGGCTTCAAGTGATCTACCCGCCTCAGCCTCCTAAAGTTCTGGGATTACAGGCGTAAGCCACTGCACCTAGCCCCATTGCTTTTTAATATCCACTTAGATTCAGTCTTGTCTGTATTTGAACTCTAGCTCTAATTAGGAACATGATCTTAGGCAAGTCACTTTACCTTTCAAGGCATTTCCTCACCTGTAGAAGGGGAATAACAATCTCTCCCTGTAAGTATTTTAAAAGATAATACATACAAAATGTTCTAACACAGTCACCTAGTTACCTAGTTCATGGTCCCTTTTCAAAAAAAAAAAAAACTGAAAGTTGGAGTGGGGGCCATTGGTGAAACTGTAGGGCCCGTTTCTTTCTTAGTATAGAATCTAGCAAAAAAATTAAGGAAGAAGTTGTAGACTAATAACTGTGATGAACTTAGGGGGTTATTTCTTGATTGCAATTATCCATGCTATTGCTACCCCTCATCACCACAGATAATCAAGAAGCATGAGTCAGCACTGGCATAGCAACATGGCCTAGCAAGGTAACGCAGGTTCATGTTTTTCTTCCTCATTAAATGAATAAATGAAGCAACTTCTTTTTTCTTTTTTTCATTTTGGTTTCAGTGACAAAATGTTCCCTGCCTTTGGGTTTGGTGCCAGGATACCTCCAGAGTACACAGTGAGTGAGCAAAGATGAGATCTTCTTTCACTTTGCTTTGTTCGAAGGATAACTTGGGTTTTCTTTGCAGCAGTCTCACTCTCTTGGCTCTATCATAACCATGTCAGTAGGGCCAAAAGAGTCAGAAATGACTTTGGACTCAGTGAGATTAACTCCCCAGAACTTGTCTCTTGATGAAACGCTATCTCCTGGTATTTTGGATGGGTCTTCTCAGAGGTCCAGATGAAGAATTTGATTGTTTAGTTTCTTATAAATGTGATCACAGTCTGAGAAAACACTCAGGAAGTTGATCTCCAGGGGCTCGGAATCTATCCATTCATATATCCCCTGGGAAACAGAATTCTATTGGCAATGCCAACTGGGAAAGTCCATGACAGTGGAGTCTACAAAATTCCTTATCCCAAGTCTTCTAGTCCAAATCTTGTATGGGAGACACAGAAAAGTTGTGAAGAAAGAACTATTATGACTTAGAGAATTGGGAAGTTGAAATGTTCTTATGATGACATTGGAATTCTATTTGTTTTTGATAATGATTTCTCATGACAGAAAAAAGGCAAAGATTGTGTGTAGATAAATTTGCACTGTGATGAGGCTGAGACACTACTGTGATATTCTAGATGCTCCTATAGGACATTCTCCACAGAGAACTCATGCTCACTAGGTGGGGAGGGCCTTGGAGAAACAGCAGGGTACCTGCCCAGCCTCCACCTTACCAGTGCCTCTGAGGTCTGAGCTAAGTACAAACAACATCTCCCAATCCTGAATTTCTCTTTTACTAGCTGTGTCTGAGCCACAGGTCAGGAGGTAGATGCTGACATTTGCTCCCTCACTAGAGCCATCACATAAGGACTTTCCCCTTATGTGTCCTTTTTGAAAGAGGAAATCAATCTCCCTGTCGCTCCTAGAGTGAACAATGGTTGGAATGGCATGTCTCCAAGACCTGTTCTCTTTCTTTTTTGCCTTGTATTCCACACTGGCCTTCGTGCTGGGCATAGCTACATAATTCTAGAAGCATTTATTGGAAACAGAGCTTGTGGGGAGAAAGAATATAGAACAAGAGTTATCGACTGGTGGCCTTTAGACATTACTCAGGCCACAAATGTGTAATATTTGACACACTTTTAAAAGACCAATTCAGCAATTTTATACGAAATGTCAGATTTCTGGCTTCTCTTGAAAACCTAAAAGGCCTGGCAACACTAAGATTAAAAGATAATCTATACATGAATAAGCTGGAGCTGAGGAGATATAGATCCCTTCAAATCTGGAATGTAAACAGGTGAGTGTCCACGTTCTTATAGCTGCTGACTACCCAGGGATTCTTGAGTTTTCATCACATCCCCACCAGGTGGTCTCCCAGCCTCAGGTTGGCCCAACAGGGCTGAGAGTAGAGCTGTGCAGCATACCTTTTTCTCATTAACAGCATCTTCCTCGTTCCCTTCCTGGAGTAACTCTGGCTGTTTCCTGAAGTCCTCTTGCTCACTTGATCCCCTAACTCCATCCTTCCTGTCAGCAAAATCCTCTGGTTCTTCCTGTTTCAATAAGCTTCTCTCATATTTCCCTATTTCTGGTCCCCAAATATATTTAAATACCCCTTTCCATGCCTAATTTTCCCCTTTCCTTGACAAGCGCTGATGATTTGTGCAGCTCAGGTGTCCCCGGAGTGTTTACAAGGTTGCCACAATTTACTTCTTAGGACAAAATCTCAGCATATGCATTGAAGTTGAAGCACAAGCACCTCTGTCTTAGTTTGTACTTTCTCAAAAAAAGATCTTGAGATAAGGATTTGAATGTAAGTAGTTTATTTGAAAGGTGGCGGAAACCTCAATAGAGGTTGGCAAATGGAAGTCAGCATAGAGTATATCATCAAGTCAGTTACCGCTGTTGGCAACTAATGCTTAACTCTGCTGAAGAACCCTAGGAGACAATGTACAGCACAGACCGCAAGGGATAAGGGAGCTGGGGTATGTATACATCATCTCCTATTAATTGCTGATTACTCTCGAGGGTCACTTTTAGCTTGTCACTTGGGCAAGCAAGGCAGTCCCTTAAAACCAGAAAAAAACTTAAGATAAACAAAGCAAATAATATGACTAGAAGTCAACTGGCTTACCTGGAACTGCTAAGAGAAAGGAAAGGCAAGATAAGCGCCAAGAGATTCACTAATCACCTCCCACAAAAAAAGGAGATGTCTTTTAACATAGGGACCTATTTTATAGATAGCCAAAAGAGTCAGAGCTTGGAAATGTCCTTTGAAATGGAATTCTCCATAAAATACCAAATGATTCAATAAAAATGTCCAGATGCTAGAACATCCATCTTGTTGTATCAGGTTTTTGGAAAGAAAAAGGTAAACAATATGTTATTTGACCTGGTGCATAGGTTCTGCCAGGTAGAGGAATTTGTATTGGAAGATTACAAGGTACATTATTTTATTATGTTTCCAAAAGTAGAATGCAGTCTGTTTTACCTGTACATGTGTGAAAATCCTACTGCACTGTAGTTCTGCATATCATGTTAATAATCCTTAAGTGTCAACGGCTTAGCTGAAGCCTTCATAACCATTGCCATGTTGAGCAGGCAGCTTGAGTTACTGAGTTTTTGTTTTTGTTTTGTTGTTGTTATTGTTGTTTTTAATCACTGGATCCACATAGACCTCAGCCAAATCTAAGCCTCCAGTCTGTGGCCAGTTCTATCTAGCAGTTATTTGAAGTTATCTTTCTGAAATCTTTTCTTGGAGTTTTTATAAGCCTGACTCTCCCCTTCTGACAGCATTTATCTGATTCTAGAAAATCTTCCTGTCACCTCAACTCCACAGGGAGCTTAGAATTCACCCTCCATCTCAGATTGATTGTGTAAAGGCTTGAAATGTTTCCTACTGCTTAAGACATAATGAATGTAATGGGCCTTTGTTTGCAAACTCTAAACCGCAGTGCCTTCTTACTGGATTAAAGTTGTAATTCTCCTTTCTTCCTGTTTTTTAAATTTTAATTGGTGTCTAGGTCTCTCATGACTTTGCAATCAACTTTAATGAAGACAACCCAGAATGTGCAGGTAAAGCACAACATGGGAAAAAGCCAGTATCCCAGTCCTTCCCTTCGCACCTTTCCCATTGTAGTTTCTCTTCACTGGTGTCTCATGTTAGTTACAATTGTCTGCAGCAGAGAAGCAGGCTTTCTGGATCCACATAAACCATGCTACTCCAAAAGCAAGAGAGAGCCATGATAACATAACAGAGCAGGAAAATAAGAACTGGAAAGGACAGAACGCAGAAGAGGTCTTGAGTTGACAGCAGTAACATTGATCCCAATCCAGGGATAATAATAATAATAAAGGAAAGTTCACTGGTAGGCAGTGATACAATATCCTTCTTTCTGCTTTTCAAATTTTCATCAAGTGTTTTATTTTTTACACCTTCATCTCTGAGCTGGTATAAGGAGGGGGGTAAACATGGAAATCATTTCCCACTTTCAGCATACTGGCCAAGGACGTGGCCTCAGTGAGTTTGAACAAGTAGCATTGCGGCTTTGTGCCAGTGAAAGCCTGCTCAAAAGCTCTGGTTCACATTCCATTGTTTCCAGCCACAATTCTCCAATGTGTTTTCACAAAATAATGATGCTGCAACTGTGGTGATATTTATTACATTAAATTTTGTTCTAGAATGATTATTTCTGTTTTCTAAGTAACAGAGCCAAATACATACGTTACAATGAAGATCATAAGACATTTTTGCACTAGAAATATCCCTATCTCTCTCTTTCTTCTTGTCAAGGAGGAAGGAGGCTAAATCAGAACCAGCAGAGTGTATAAGGCATCTAGCAGTTAATGGCCAAGAATATTATATCAATACCACTGAGTCTGAACATAGTAACCTCCAAGACCCAATCTCCATTCTGCCATTTTTTCCACTAATGTATTCTCCACCCTCAATTTATTATGGTTTAGAATTTCCTCATGTCCAATTGCCCCCATTCTGAAACCATAAGAGTGGTTTCCTCTGTGGCAGAATGAAATATAAACCCTGGTATTTGCTTATTTCATACTTTTAGAATTCATCTGTCTGATATTTCTGAGGAAATCAAACTTGCTTATCATAGGCAAAAACTTAAGAACCAAAAAAAAGATAAGGAGCTTCTATTCAGCATCATTTAACTTCAGAACCAGACTGCAAAATGACTTGGCATCTGTCTTTAGAATAATAGGTTTTGGGGCAAGGCCAAGTGGGTGCAGGATTGTCAATGATATTGGAAGCATGTATATGAGAGCAGAATAGAAAAGAACTTGCTCATCCAAAATACCCAAGAGCAATTTTGCAGTGCATGGCGGTTATGGAGAACAATCTCAGAAGGGGATTGTGTGGATCCCTCTGGCCAAAAACAGGACTACCATGCTGTTTCAGAATAGAAAAGGATAAAAGGATGAGCTGAAGTCTGGACACAGTGGCTCATGCCTTTAATCCCAGCACTTTGGGAGTCTGAGGTGGGTAGATTACAAGGTCAAGAGATTGAGAATATCCTGGCCAACATGGTGAAACC